CACAAGCACTCTTCACTGTTTTACAAAACTCAGGTAGTCTTCCATAAAGCTTCACAGCTTTTCCCTCCCCAGGAAAAGCATCCTGGTGCTTTAATGCTTTAATGTCTCAGGGACACCTCAGAACTTCAGGSCACTCCCCATGTGTGTAACAGACCGTGTCTCCTCAGAGTGGAGATTGATTCAGGGAGCTCTGCTCAGAGACCTGACAGGTAAGTGTTCAGGAAATGGCTGTTCCAAATGTGTCTTCAATAAATTTCTGTTAYATCTGCAAATGCAGTACATGGCTTGGAACCCAGTGCAAGTGGTGTTGACATTCCAGCCATGACCTGGAACACCTCTGAAGCACAGTTTAAGGTACACAGGAGTTCAGTTGCAAAYATGGTCACTACCAGTAAAAATGTGTTATGTTTATGTGGGTCTCACAAGCTCTTGTACCATGAAATGTGTATTTATCAAAGGAGCAAGTAAAAGAGCTGCTGCCTTCTGTCCAAGTCACACAAAGTATTCTGTCCAAGACAAACATCACTGAGTAAAGAAGGGACCTTTGACGGGGTGAGATTGTTTTATTTTTAAGTAAGCTATTTTTGCACTGCTTACTGGTATGAACTAAAATGAACTCAGTTCCTGTGTTTCTTAACTTCTAATGAACACTGTGATAAAAGCTGCAAGGGGTTTTACACTAACAGTGCCTTCCAGTTTTTAAATTCTGTTTGTCATTACTGTCTGTGGTATGGAGTCATTCCAAAGCTTTTTCCCCTTATCTGTTTGCATACGTAAGAAAAAATATAAGGCATATTTATTCAAGTTTGCAAATGTTTTCTCAAAAAGCACACTTTTTTCAAAGTAACATACATTTGCTGGAAGAARAATGTATTTTAGCCTGAGCATATGGCTTTCTATGAGAATTGCAGTCGGGGTTTGTTTGTTTTCTTTCTGCTCGGAGCTTTGTGGGAGGAGTGTTGGCTTCCACTGTTTGTGCTGAAGGATTTCTTTAACCTCAAAAATCAGTAAAGACTCAAGGAGTGGAGAAATGCCAGCTGATGTGAAAATAACACTTGAAAAATAGTCCCTGTAGTTCTGTAGATGCACTTGGGTTATTTTCTGCGGATACAGAGAGCTGCTGGAAATGTATTCTGACTGTTGTGGGGTAAGGATGGCCAAGAGGTGCCAAGGACTTCTGTAGGATGAGGCTTTAAATACATCTTAGTCTGAGAATAGCACAACTATGAATAAACASTTTGAAACCTCGTTTTGCTTTTTGCGTATTACTGTTACTCCTCAGGATGATTTTGGGGGCCACCCGCTAAGCGGGGGCACTTTGGGGAGGTGAGTGAGTGGTAGTGACTCATTCCCTGCTCCACAGCAGGGCTCCCCTCATGGCTGTAGCTGAACAGGCTTGTCCCAGGAGGACTCTCTCCAAAAGGTGGGATTTGGAAAGGAAGCTGGGATTCCTCTCATGCCCTGTGTTGTAGCACATTGATCGTATTGAAGCAAAGCTTCCCCCTCCTCAAGTTCATCAACTGCTGCCATATCAGTGTGGGCAGAGATGGAGGACAGTTTGCTATTCCCCTTTTCTCCCACAATCCTTTTTCAAATTCTTATGTGTAGAATTTCCTATTAAAAGAGCACAGAGATGAGCCCAAAGCCACCCTCACTGAGTAGGTCAGATCAAGGTTCCTTTGTCACAAGCAGAAATCTCATGTCCTACCCCTGTGTGTGTGTGCTGCCTGTCCATAACATTTCATATTTTGGTCACCTTTTGCTTAATTTTTTTATTCTTTTCAGTTGAGTGGTTTTCATCCATTTTGTTTTTGTCTTTGTTTTGTTCCCCATTCAGGAGCAATTATGTTTGCCTCTGCATATTTTAGAAGAGAAGGGTTTGACACAGGTAGCTGTGACTGTCCAGGCGCTCCTGGAGCTGGCACCCCCAAAGCAGCAGCCCCTTCACCACTTGTCTGCTGTGTAAAGACCTCCGGGACCTTTTGGGTTACCTTGGCTAAGCAGAAGGACCTGAAGACTTTACTGCCCATGCAGTGCATCCAAACACACAGAGCTCTGTTCTAAGGAAATGAGTTTCCGTGATTCCTGACAGGAATGTTTTACTTCATTTCTCCATTTTTTTTGGAGATCACAACAGTTTCCAGTAACATTTTTTATTATCAATATTTTTTCCCCTTATTTAAAAAAACGAGAGTTCATTGGGAGGAGGGCAGGGAATTCCAGTGACTGGCTGTTGGAACCAGTTGTAGAAACTGACCTTGCAGGATGAAGATATGGATTTAGAGTTTGGAAAGCAATTCCTTGGGAAATTTGTTAAAAAAGGGRTGTTCCTGCCATGGGCACACAGGGAGTTAAATTTCTTTCCTTACCCGCMAGTGCAAAGAAATGGACTTCCTTTRCCTCCAAAGAACAGCTATTTCTATTATAATATTTAAAAAATTGCATCACACAATCGTAATTCATCGTGTTTGATAACAGGGTCGAACCTCACACAGCTGTAACTTGTGCTGACATAGCCTCATTACTAAAAGTTGAAAAAAATCACCTTTTTTTTTTCCCCCAATGGAAAAATTTCTGCATGTTTCCTCTGCCACAATCACCATAGTAAAAGATAATAAATTAGATCTGTTCAAATGGGATTAATCCCATCAGCATTCTTGCTGGATTCGCTTTCTGTTTGGGTTTTAACATGTCTTTGTCTTAACACTTTTCCAGCCTYAGTGGTGGGAGATCTCCCCTGTCCTCATATCCCCTTCTGGTCCCTCGGTGGTTTTTTGGTATCACCAGAATCCTGTCCATTCCTCTGCMGTGGGAACAATGCCAGCCTGCCCTGCTGGCATTGGAGGCCTGGTACCAACATTTATGAGGGGCTGAAGCATCCCCTGCAGGCACAGAATGGATCATGTTAAGAGCACAATTCCCAAGTTCCCTTGGTGGACTGGGTGTTATCAGAGCAGTGTCTGTGCTAACGCAGTTCTGAAGCTCTAAATGGTTTGACAAAGTTTTCAATAAAGCCCTTCATTCATTATGTAGAGAGTTGTGCTGGTTTTACAGAACTGCCATGTCTTCATTCCTTTTTCCTTAACTTAAAAATGGAAATTCAGTGTACAGGAGTGGGAGAGGCAACTGACAAGTTTTGTGTTTTCCTGGAAAGCTAATGTGCAAAATAAAGACAGCTCTATATGCTCTGGTCCTAGTGACAAAGCCAAGGTCACTACCAGATCAATTAACGATTTTTTTTTCCTCACAAAGTCCAGCTTTCCACCCATGCAGTTCCTTTGTCACGTTTTGCCCAGTTTGAAGAATCCCCAAACATTGTGTTACTAACATACGGTGCATGAGGTTCTGAAAGCAACTCCAGGCATCAGCCATATTACAGCTGAGGATATATCTGAAGCAGACTRCATCAAGACGATTTTATGCAGAAAAAGGAAGAAGCAGTGGGAACAAATTAGCTGAAGGTCATTTTTTGCAGAAGTAAACCTGCTGTGGGAGCTGCCAAGGCCCGGTCTTAGCTGCATTTTTCCCCTTTTGATTTGCAGTTTTGTTTCCATTTTGTTTTGCTTCATGTATTTCTTTTAAGGGCCATTGTGGTGATTGTTGAATCCCCTATTACACATAATTATTCCAGTTGATTCTTACTGGCATTGGTTGGTCACATTGCAAGTGAAGGAAAACACTTGGAGGGTGTTTAGAAGTGCTCGGCTGCAAAGAGAAACCTCCTCAGGCTGGGTAAGTGCAGTGTCCTGAGCCCTGCAGGGAATGAAAGTGTCTGGAACTCACAATACCCACAGGAAGGGCAGCTCCACGCAGCCATTCTTTCCCCCTTAAGTAGCTCCTGTGTTATGCTTTATGCCATTGGTGAGGAGCATTGGTCATTCCTGCAGGGTTCCACAGAAGTGTCTGAAGTGTGTGCTGCAGTGTTTGCTGGGGGGAAGATGCTGCCACAGACAATACCAGACAGAGTGTTCCTGGTGTGTTTGTCTCTGCACATAATTTGAGAGGGAGGGAGGCACTGACTTCATCTTGGTTATCAACATTAGGTCACCTTGGATTACAGGGRCACATTGCATTTAGCAGCACACCCACTGTGGGTTTTTAAATAGCCCTGTTTGAAGAAAACCATTCCCTTCATGGAATTGCAAGGGTGAAGTGATTGCTTCAGTCCAGCACTTAAGGGAAATGAAACTTTATAGTATTCAGGTTGTGGGAAGTTGTGTCATTTAATTAACAGTAGTTTTTAATGGGGTGGGGGCTCAAGTCTGGCCTGCAAGAAAGGGCCATTTCCTATTGCCATGTGTGGCTCACAAATGCGAGTGGCTCATGGCCACCAGTGGCTCACAGCCACAGCTCAGCAYGAGCCAGGCCCAGGGAAGGGCTGTGGCTGAAGGCCAGGCAGGCAGAGGGTCTCCAGCACTGGGTACTTTGTTGTGGGCAATGTTCACTCTGGCAGTTTCAGTGTAGGGGATTGTGTTAGTTAGACATTTATAATCCTTTTGTTTTCATGCTGGCAAGCACTAAATCTTGTCCAGATGCTTAGGACAAAAATCCAAACCTGAAGTTTCATCATATGGTTTATTTAATGTGTTACACCAAACCCACTTCAGATCTCTCTTTCAAAATGGGTTGGGATTTTTTCAGTGTAGTTATGTGCAATTTTTGTTGTATCCCATGAAAAGAATATTTGAAAGAAAACATGTATAAAGTTCTATTCTGTGTGTTARAGCTAAGAAGAGATTGTCTTTCCTCTTTGGGGCATTTGTGTTGGAGAATGTGGGAGGGATCCACCTCAGTGTTCTATGCTGCTGGTGTTCCTACACTGACTCCATGGTATCACACTCCATCCTCAAACCTGCTGAGCCCTGAGCAGTGTCTGAGGCTSTGCAAGGTCATTCATACACTCCAGGAGGAGTGGCCCAGGCACTGGGAGCCCCTCATGGCACTGGAGGGTGCAGAGCAGCTCCCCTTTGGAAGGGGAGGCTTTGTAAAGGCCCCACCCTGGTGTCCTGCTCAAAGTCCATCAGGGACAGCTCTTTGCAGTGCCAGAGCACCTCAAGTTCTTGGTAGCAGCARGATGGCAATGGTATTATTACCCCTTTATGACTACAAATGGTTCTTTGAAAAACTGTTTTAGAAACAGAGGACTTGTAAGGTGAATTTGGACATCTAAAAATTTCATTTGTATAGATATTGTGATGTTTTACAAAGTGATCTAATTTTGTTATTTCTGAAAACAGTGTAAACGTGTAAGTAATAGAGTAAAGGATTTTAAAGCTTCATCCCATGCTGTATGTCTGTAAATACATTCCATAATTTCTGTTACATATAAATGTGTCTGAATATTGTATATTTTAAATCTCCTGTATTCTGCCAGTAGTGTGAACTTCTAGCACATTGATAATATAAAAGGAAACCATGGGTATTTGAAATAAAGTTTTAAAACTTACATGAATTGCAGTGTTTCTTCCTGCTGTTTTTCTGTTGCATCAATGAATGTCACRTCCTCTGTTTCAGGTGTTAATTATTCCCCTTCCACATCATCCCAGTTGGCATTTGATAGACCTACTTTGCTTCACTACTTTTCATAGTTAACCAGGACAGGAAAATTCCAGCATTTTTACATATATTCTGCAGCCACATCAGAAGCTCTTTCTTGGGGGTATTTTTAACCTTCCCAAAACCAGATTTTGTACAGAATCCTTTGCTCTTCCCATCACAGCCCTTGTTTTTTCCTTCTCTTCATATATTATACATTCTGGGTTTGGGGTTTCATGCTGCCAGTCCCATTGGTCCTTCTTCTTATCCTTTGCTTTTGGCCTGTCTTGGGTTTGACATGTAGCACCCCTGCTTCCTAGCCCCACTGCATTTGAAAGGTTTATTCTTAGGCATAATGTTCATTCCTCTTTTTATCCCTCCTCATTGCTAMTTTTATTATTTTTTAAAATATAAAAAGGTAAAGCCTAGAAATTGTCAGAGTGCAGCTTTTCACCATAACTCTGCCTTGCAGAACTGTGTTCTCCAGAATTGCCCAAGCTCTGTTACATGTTTTATTTCRTCCTGTCAGCCAGACAGACCACAGTGCCTTGCCCAGCAACAGTCYTGGAACATATTTGTGGCCGCTTTCTTTACTTATCTCTTTTTTTTAGATTTGTCCTTCCCTGCTTCTTTCAGTGCTGCCTGTTGTTCCTTCAAAAACTTCTCAAGCTCCTGGTAGCGGCCAAGGAATCTGCGAACCATTGTACCCTTCCACCAGGCCTGCAGCTGGAATTGAGTGAGAGAGAGAGAGGGGCCTGAGGGGAAATCACTTGCTGGGGTCCTTGGTACAGCTCAATGGCTGGAGAGTCTTTCCTGTGCTCCCCAGCCCGGGCAGCAGCCTTCGGGCCCGTGCTGGTTGTGCCAAAGGCATCCTCAGCTGGGTGAGGGCACCTGTTGCTGGTGGCAAGGGACAAGCAGGGGCACTGCCCCATGACCCTCCCTGTGTCACCTGTGCAGTGATATTTGCAGGARACTGGCTGCTCCTCTTTCACTCCCATCTCCAACCTGCAGCCAGCTGCTGGCTCTGAGTATGCCCAGCAAAAGGGACAGGCTTTGTCCTTCGCTTGTGCCACCACACACCAGCCAGATTTCTTGGGCTGTTTTCTGCCTGGACAAAGCCCGTGGTACAGATTAATAACTCCCAGCTGCTGATGGAGCAGCACCACCTCAGCTTTGCTCCCGTTTACCTTCACAACGCTCTTCAGCTCCAGGGCTTCCCGYTCGATTTGTTTTCTCCTATTTTCCTTATCTGACCGGTCAATGATGATGGTTGCCTGGAACATCAGGCACTGCAAGAAAGCACAGGGGTGGCATGACAAACACATCCCCTAAACTGCAAGGCCACCCTTCAAGGTTCACTGTGCCCAGACACCTGCCAGGACAGGGTTCACTTGGACCCTGGTGCAAGGATTCTTCTCTGCTGCCTGCAGTTCTCATCCTTGCTGCACACATCCTACAGCCCTGCCAGGACTGCTCATGCCTGTGGGTTGTGGTGTCCCTGTGCACCAGGGAGCTCCAGGGCAGCCCAGGGATAACGTGTAAGTGGGGACTTTGCTCCCCCATCTCCATTTTTTTGATCTTTCCTCAATCCAGATGGCAAATGTTGCTCATTACCACCRTCAGTCCTCAGGCACTGCTGCCAAAGTGAAACCTCTCACGGCCTGGATGTAATTAACCCCCTGATCCTGTGCTGTAAAGTGGCTGGCTGATGGCTTCCCARGCAACAGCTGGTGGGGAGGAGGACACTTGGTCCCCCAGGCTAAGCCACAGATGATGTACAAACACACTTGGGACACTGAGATGACAGTGTACAGGGTGAAAAATGAGCCCACAAGCAGGGAAACATCCAACTCRGTGCCATCATCTCCAACCCACTGATGGTAAGGAATGTTTACAAGTAAATTCCTTGTAAACGGCCTGGTTTTAAAACATATTTTTCTAGACACTTCTTTCTGTTCTGTGCTGCTGCTCCRCTGTGATCAGACCCCAGCAGTTAATCAAGAACCCAGTGGGGCAAGAATGGTTCCACCCAGAATCAGCTCCCTGAAAGCAGAGCTCTGTGCAGCTGGGGATGTGTGTCTGCAGGAAGGGATGARCTTTCTTTTTCAGTCTCAGCCTGTCTTACCCTGATCTTGCTTGAAGGAGCAGATTTGTTCAGACTAAGGCAGCAAAGTAAGGTGAGGCATCCTGATGGGATGGGACAGTACCTCTGCCCCTCACAAAKGCTGTCAGTAACACTCATTATTTGCTGGTATTTGAAAATAGCTATAGGGGAAAGATCATCATCCCTCCTTGATGTCACTGGTGGCAAATAGAAGATGACATCTCAGCCGTTTTCTTCCCAGGACCACTGCTATAATCACAACCTATGCCTCAAAATTGCTGATTTTTTTCCATGGTCCTGGTTCCTTAACTGAATGAGCATAGGAAAAAACCCAATGCAATTTTGCATGGCTGAACACTGAGATGCTGGTGCCTTACCTCTTTGGCATATCTCTGCATTGTTTCCAAGTTTTCTGCCTTTAATGCCCTTAGATCATCCAGTTCTTCATCTTTTGCATCAGTGTCTTTTTGATACTTGTCCATCCAGTATTCCAGCTTCTCTTTAACCACCTGCATGGGGAGAGAGTGGTGTTCAGATGGTGCAAGGAGCGCACAGGTGAGAGGTTTGCTGCTATTACATGCCCTGCTTTCAGGATGGTGGTGAGAGTCCTGTAAACTGTGTGTGATCAGTGTTTTCTTCTCATCTTTAAAGGATCAAAYCCCTAAGACAACTCATAAATTACTGCAGGACTAGTTTTGTGCAGTCCTGATGAAGCAAATGACAGCCAGAAGCCATTCTTTGTGTGTGAGGGAGGGACAGTTAAAAAGCACAATTTATCAGTGGGAAAGCTTTTATCCTCTGCCTGATTCCCTACCCACTTTCTGGATTAAGCTCAGTGCACCAGGAATAAGGTCCCCRGGGACAGCACTTCACGCTATTTCAGGTTGTGAACTTGGCTTTGTGTCACTCATGAATAGGGCAGGTGTTTTCAAACAGTCACCAGATGACTTCCTCCTATTCACCAATAACTTCTCCATAGCAACCATCGTGATTGCTTCCATGGAAAAATAATCTGAGGAAAAGCATCAATCTCATTATGGAATCACAGCTGGACACACAAGGGGGATGGAGGGCACGGTCATCCTCCTCTCTGCAGGCCCCTGCAAAGCCACCAGCTGCTGTCTGAGCACACAGGGGCTGCTGCTGGGCCGCCTGCTGGAGGTCAGCCAGGCTCAGCGTGTCCTGGGACAGTCCCCTCACTGGGAGCATTGATCAGACCAAGGCTCTGGGGTATAGAGCACATTGTTCAATTGCTCACAAGACACAGCACTGGTTTGCACTCAAATTACATTTTAAAAAACCTATTATCTCCTATTAAATTTTGTACTGGCAGTGACATCAAGTACCCTGCAGTGGTCCAGGTTTTCTTCCACTCATACCATTTATGAGAGGCTTTGCAGCATTATTCACTGTAAAGTTATTCACTGTTGATGAAAGGAATGTTCTGAACCTCAGAATCAACACCACAAAAACATTCATGTACACATTTGCTGCAGAAAATGTGTACAATAGTTGTGGGTTAGCAATAATCCAGTCCCAGTTCTTCCTCAGATAAAGTTAAGGCAAAACTGGGCTGGCAGTTCGTGTCATTCCCTCCTCAGTGTCCATCCCCTCTGTGCAGCCCTTGGGTCTGAGAAGCTGCTGCCCTCACTTTGGGCTCTTCGCTGGGATGCTGGGAGCCCCAGTTGCTGCCAAGGAGGGTCTAAATAAAATTCCAATTTGCCAAATACAACTATCTGAGGGAGGAAAAATCCATAACACCTGAATTAACAACGTTATTCATTACATGAACCCTAATTTTAAGGAAATGTATCTATATGTAGCAAATCCCAAGTCTGGGAGAGCTGGGTTAATTAAGGTTTGWGGATAAGTAATCATTCAAACTGCAGCAGTCATGAACCTGGTACATTYGATGGAGCAATAACTGTTTTCCTTTAGGCTTTAATTGATGATATAAGTGTTCATGGGTTGCTATTTTAAGCATCAACTGACAGTCATATATACCTGATATTGTTGCATGAGGAACTTTTCAGTCTCTGTGTGGACTTTCATCTCCTCATCAATTTTGCTCTTCAAAATCTGTGATCAGAGCAGACAGAACACATGAGAGACAATGTTGGTGTGTATGTGTACACACACTGCTGCTGAAAGCTGAGTGCCAGAGCTCTGTGTAGTCCACAGACATTTTTTCCAGTGAAAAAATTAACTGAGGCAGTCCTTGCCCTGGGCCATGCATGTAAAAGGGATGATTAGATCAGACCTTGATCATCAAAAAAAGATGCTGGCAAAACCAGAGCAGTTTTCTAGTCCAGTTCATCTTAAGGCCACACAAGCAGCTCTATSTGCATAATCTGCTGGGGGCCCTGCTGGGAGTTCAAGATGCCTGTATTGCTAAATACCCTTGTAACCACCCCTTTGGATATACTTCTTGGTTTTCTGATGATGGCATTACTTTAGGCATTCCCTGTSTCCTGCAGCCATGCCATCTGTGTTGTTACTGTTTGCAGGATCATACAGAGAAACAATAGAAGAGATAAAGGTTTCTAACCCCGATGAGTTTCCTGATCCAGTTCAAACAGTTGTGCTGGTGACTGTAATGGAGAACAGAAAGGGCTTCTGGGGAGTGAGAGGCCTCTTCCCTTACTAGATGCAGATGCCTTCCCCTAGGGGCCATGGGGAAGGGCTTACCTCGATTTCCTTCTCCAGAGCAATCTCTGCACTTCGGCACTTTTTCTGGATTTGTTGGACCTGGAGGTCTGAGTTTCTCTTCAGGTAGTAGCTCTCTATGTTCARTTTGGCCATCTTCTCTTGGAGTTTATCTTTGAGGCTATCAATGATCAGATCTCGGTTCTAGTGGAGACAAAAGCAGCACAAAAGCTAGCCTGAAGACTGAGGTCAGTTCACTCTTTCTTAATCACTCCTTTATAAGGTCAGAAGAGACAGAGTTATAGGCTTCACATGTTCCTTGAATGTTGCTCCATTTCAAGGAGTGTTTCAAAGGTTAGTTTGAGCTGTAACCCATATAGATGGCAATAAACCCAACAGCAAGGAGTTATTTCCTCTGGAGAGGGTGGAATGAGGAACAGAGAAGGACAAGAAGGCAGGTCTTCTGCTCTCTAGTCCAGGAATTGATTCAGTAATGCTTAGGATAAATATGAAAAAATAATTTTAACCACTGAAAGTTAGGCTTTACTTTCACTAACCCGTTGGATTAGACTGTCTCAGTGAGTGAGTGAACATCTGTAAGAGGAAGATCATGTCTCAGCCCCACAAAAGCCAAAGTTCGTTTTCCTAAAGTATACTGTATTCCTTGGATTAATTTTTTTTTTTAGTTATGCAGCAACTGTATAAAGACAGCCTTAGGAACGGGTGCAAATCTAATCCTGACTTGGTCATTTTTTTTAACAGTTCTTGAAATCTTACCAGGTAGATGGTTGCCACTTCATCATGAAAACATAAACTCAGGGCAAGGAAGCAATGTTGAGGAAGAGCTGGCTATGAGCTCCCAGCCTCTCCCCATGCCTTGCTTTGCAATGGAGCTGAGCTTTCCTGGGGCAGAAAGCTCAGTTTTCTATTCCCTAGAGCTCTCCCATAGGGCAGAATCCTGAGTGGTTTGTCCAGCTTTTGGAGCATGCTCAGGAAGCAAAGTGCATTTGCTTGATTTGGGATTGCTGTTTTGTTTACTCCTTTTAARTTAATTTATTTGAATAACACATAAAGGTTCATTACCCTAGGGTTGGAACTTGGAAGAACCGCCTGTAAAATGAAGATTTTTGTATCAAGAGTTAAAAAGGTCATTAAAGCTTCCTGTGTAATTATGCAAGATCAATGTGAATGCACCCAACTGCTCCATTACAGCCTTTCCCTTTGCTTTCCTGCCATGCTATGATGGGTTGATATTCATCAGCCAAACCTTGCAGATAAAGGTGAAATACCAAAGTGCTGGTATTTAAACGTTTTGAAGCCCACATATCTTGTCTCTGAAGCACCTCGCATTCCTTAGCTGTGGAAACATGGAAAAATGCCACAGRAAGACGCCAGCTCAATAGTGCTGTGTTTGAAAGCCCCTGCAGCATGACTCATTTGGAAAAGGCTTCCTTATAAGAAGAGTTTGGAATAGTTAAAAGAAAAGTCCTTCCTTTTGCACCCCTTGTCAGACATAGAAAGAATAGAGTACATTTATAAGGTTCAGGGCAATTGGGAGCTTTGGCTGATGCTGTTTTGTGRGTTCAAAGGTGTTCACATGGTTTTGAAGGTTTCAAACACCAGATACTATTTTTGGCCATATCATCATATGACTGCAGAGAGCTCCAGACATGAGCTGTTTGTGCCCTATTAAGGTTTCTGGTAATGGCCTTTATTTTCCCTGGCATGGAATTTTGGTGGCCATTGGGAGGGGTTGTGTTCCTGGTCAGTAGACATGGGATGTGAGTGTATCACTCTATTTTGAGATTGTCCTCCTGGATCATAGTGGAATCGTGTCAAAATTGAGGGACCAGTAGAGAGACTGAGGAGATGCTAATAAAAAAAACTCCATACCATTTTTTGCAGTACTGAGGCTCAGGAAAATCAAGTACTCCTGTTGTTAGTGTGTTACTGCTATCTGCTAAAGATCTGCARACTGTCCAAAAAAGAAGGGTTCAGCTTAGGTTACAAAGTTGGGGCAGAGCATGAACTTCTCACCAGGTTATTTTCTTTTTCATTTCACATTTTAGTAAAGAAAAAAGTGCTTTTGATTCGAGTGCCCCAGGCCTCAGCTGGGATGGGAGCCCATCTGCTCTGTTGTTTTCTGTTGCATGGCATGTCTGTGGCTTGGATTTGGTCTGTGGTGTTGTAAAACACCCTGGTTAGAGGTGAGGAGTCTGGGGGCTCAGTTACACAATCCAAAGCAGACGGAAAGTGAAATGCAAACCCCACTTGTGGTTTTACAGCAGCGCCTGCCTGGCCAGGGAAAGCCGGCTGCAGGCGAGGGCAGCTCCTGCTGCAGAGCTGGAGGATGTTTGGGATTTAGCTGCAGGTAGTAAATGCAGCAGTTAATGCTCACAAGCTGTGGGCACCATCTTCAGAACGTGCTGGTCCTTCAACTTCAGGGACAGGCACTGGGAAAATGAGTTAATATTTATTCATTTTGTTTATCATAGCAAAGGTCCACGCCAGGACACGGAACGCTTTCATAGCTGATGCAGTAAATCTCTGGGCTGCTTATTTGGGATGACTTCAGCACTGAATCTGCCAAACCAAATCATCCCTTGTGTCCAAAACTATCAGAAAACTGGCAGAGACCAAGATCAAAACCCAGGAAATAGTTGTCAGGAGCCAGTCTGCTTCACAAGCAGGTAAACAAGCTGATTTTCTCTGATCTCTCAGCTCACAGACATCAACTCAGGGGCCTGTCTGCTGTCACCCAGTGCCACAGGAGTCTGCCCCACAGATGCTGTTTGGCTGCAAAAGCAACTGCATTTAGCTGGAGACCTTATCCACCCTCCTGTGTTTTCATTTACTTTGATTTATCTTTCTTGTAAGTGCCACCAAGATCTCCCAGCTCTTCACAGCAATTAGTGTTTACAGTCATAAAATACAGCTGGTTACAAARATAGCCCGCAGGAGTAAACAGTCTGAGGAATTCTCCAGCAGTCCAATGCTGCCATTTGGCAGGGGAAGGAGTTCTGTGCTCTGTGCTGATGGGGGGGGCCCTGCTCTGCCTTGCTCCCACACCGAGTGCTYGGAGCTCAAGGCTCTCCCTGGCAGCTGCAGCATCTCAGCTTGCAGAGGCTGGAGATGTGCTTGGATCCAACAGCTGCTGCAGCCTGGGTGCTCCCCTGAAACCACAACAGGCAGCCCTGCAGGCACTGCAGTAAGGCTTTGCCTGCATCACTGTCCCAGCTCCAGAACACCTCCAAGGAATGTCTGGGCACAAGGGACAGCAGGGCTGGCTGTCACCCGGCATCCACAGAACGACTCTGCAGCCTTTGGCCAGATCAGTGCCGATCCCAGCAGCTGTGGGGGAGCCCCTGGAGGGGCAATTTGGTGGCACAGGGAGCAGACCTGTTGGCAGCAGCACTCCTGTGGAGACAGTCCTGCCCCTCTGGAGCCAGGTTTGGATCCTGTGCACCAGCTTCAGGTCCTGCAGTGCTCCTTGGGGCTCTGCCAGCAGTGGAACTCMGGAACATCACAAACCTTGTACCTTCTAGTATTATCATCCAATGCATATCTCCAGTAAAAAAATGTACCAATGGGTGTGTATATGTGTTTTAAACATTCCACAGAATGCTCCACTGATGCATTTGTCCTCCTGGGAGAGGAAAAGGGAAGAAACATGGTGGGTTTTAATCTTTCTGCTAAAAGCATAACTAAGTGGYGCACTGATACAGTGGATCTGGGCATGTTATGATTACCAACAAAGAATTAAAAGTACAGACTTGTTTTCACTGGTACTGTGGTGCAAAGCTTTGGATTTCTGTCTGTTTGGTAGCTGTAATATTACTGCTTGTTATAAAATGACACCACTACTTGCACACATGTATGACATGAGTACACCACAAAACCTACAGAACATGAAAAGCCTTTGGGTGAAGAGCAATGCAGGAATGCTAAAGTTTACATTCCTAAATTTTTATGTCAAGCGGTATAATCCTATATGATATTAATCTGTTTCATAACCTGCACAGACTGCCATTACTTGTCCAGGAAACCAGAGAAAGTGAGTATTTTTATAGAAACTAGAAAACACTGCAGCAGAAAACAGACCCCCTGCAGCCAAACCTGAGCCACCAGTCCTGCTCCTGCACAGGGAGGTAAGAGTAAAACCAGATGGATAATTTCAGCTCCTTTAGAGACACCAGTGCTTTCCAAGAGAAAAGAAAACAAAATAAAGAAAAGCATTTAGCATTTGATTTGTGTTCCATTAGAGAGAAAAATAAGCTGAGCAGGCTAATACACTATTAATTAGCATCTCATTAAATGGTTGCAAGGCTGAAAATACAAATTCACAGCAACATGAGTGAGACAAAKGCCGTGTTTTTCTGGTTCCAGGATTAGATTTGCTCGCTTTTGTTTCCTCAACCATGTAGGCTTTTGTCTACAGGTCTGTGCATTATTATTGTTGTTCAAAGTACYCCTAAGTCAGCAAAGCTGTATTTTTATTTTTAATTAGTTGGAAAGATGACAAATCATGCAAGTGTCTGTAAAACTGCCTATGGGAAAGTCCCATATGAAGCAAATAGAAATTATTCTCCCTTGGGAGACACAGTGAGACACCATTATTTTTGGCACAGGAGGAAAGCAGTACTTTAAAGTAGTCTTGTCTTTGATTTGTTATCAAAGCTGAAACTATAAGGAAGCTCAGAAAAGGACTTTTAAGMTTGAAATATTAAAATTAAAAAATCCCAGATGAGTGAAAATCCCACTGGATGAGGCAAAATCCAAGAACTGAATTAGCATTCAAAGGACAGGGAAAAGACTACTCTCTGTAGTCATCTATATTCTGGCTTGTTTGCYGTCCACACTTTTGTCCAAAGACAAAATTCAGTGACGCCAGTTTTTTCCTCAGATGCCCTTGCTGTCCTCTTGCTCACTATTGAACCAAGTGTCTGATTCATATTCCTAACCCCAGCYCCTGTACAGCTCTGCTCCAGCTCGCCTTCTGCTTGTTTGGTATCACACATCTCCTGCCTCAGCAGGGCCAGGCTATGTTTCCATGTTGAATGATTATCAAGTCTGAGCTGTCTGGTGAGCATCAAAGTGACCAGTGATAAACCATTCAATTGATCTGCACTTGTGTAGCAAGTCTGACATTTCCAGAATGCCCCATATTTCCTGTGCATACACACACCCTTTGCATGATGCAGACAGAAGGGCTGAAGCTTTCCAGAAAGATTAAGTTGACAGCATATGTGCAATAACATTGTTCTGCCCTTGTGTAGGCATGTTTGGGATTTTCTGATGTTTGGAAGGCTACAAAATTAGATTAATAGAATGGTACTTTCCCCAGATGAAAATGTAGGTAGAAAAATGGCTGCCCCTCTGCTAGGTGTCTGTTTTTCTTGTTCCCTCTTTGACACACCTCTTTCTGTGCCAGATGATCTGCTGTGRCTGAGCATGACAGAACCTTAGATACTGTTATCTGCAGATAACCTTTTCCTTACTGATTGCAGATATCTGTGCTTTGTCACTCCCAGCAGTGTTTGTTGGATASTCTAATTTGACCATGGTCTCTCATKATTATGATAATTTTGAGTTCCCATTTGAAAACCAACAGACACTGCTCTTAAAGYCATTCGTGGGCTTATTCTGAGTACAAATCTTTACTGTAATTATTCTATTTCTATATTCCTAAGTCATGGCTCATTATGTATGGACATGTCCTCTCTGAGTGCTAGTTCCTGGGCAGCAGAGGCCAGCTTCCTACAGGCTTCCCCCTGGCAAGATGCCCAGTGTTAAGAGCTCTCACCTGAAGTTCTTCTTCAGCTTGTTTCTTGACATCTTGCAGCTGTTTCTGGAGTAACTTTATCTCCTTATTTCCTTTTTCCTCCCTGAAATGGGAAAATACAATCACTTGAATATATCAAAAAAGACAAGAGCTGTTTACCCAGAAGGGGAACTTCCCGTGTCCTGATATATTGTGGTAAGAKAAACAGAGACTTCTCACCAAAACTACTGACTTGGTCAATAAATCCTGAAAGAAGAGGTGCACAGACTGAGCAAGGCAAATGGGAACAAAAGGGAGAATAAGCCAAAAAAACCAGGGCCTTCTCTTGTTGAAAGCCTGGAATGGATTTGAGGATGGTGCAATTCCTATAGCAGAGAGGGAAAATGCCTGTCATTGAGACACAGTTTCTACATTCAGGCAAAAATGCCCCTGATTCCCTGCAGAAGTAAGCCTGAGCAGCAGAGAGGGCCAAATTCTGTGTCATTATGTGTATGGAGAATGTTTCTTTCCTATCAGACTTAAAATCCTCCAAAAAACACTGCCCCAGGTTCTGAGATCCATAAAAGGATCTGAGTGAAACCCGAAAGTTAGAGAGGTGTTCATCTAAAACAAAACAGATGTAGTTAATATTATGGGTCTTATTCTCTTATTTCACTCAGAGTGCTTCTCTAGGCTTTTATGYTTATGATTAGTTTTAAAACCAGTAAATACTACAGTTGGCCCTGAAACTTTGTATCCTATCCCAACCTTACAATCACACATGCATTTAATTTTAAGAGTCCTTATCTGGGTGACTGATGAACAAAAGCTCCTGATAAGAAGTCCCTGTCTCACTGCAGATGGCTTTCAGAACAATGTATGTACACAAAACCAGGCAAGTATTTATTATCTTGAAAGACTGATCTAATTCATTCCATGAAAAAAAAAATGTATAGTACAACAGAGTGGCTAGATATGATTGACAGAAGGGGATAAAAAGGATTATGTCCTTTCTGATTATATTTGTCTGGTCTTTTTTACTTTTCAYTGTTGGGTAGTTACTCCACAACCARTTGCTACTCTCATGCTTGTTTTCTGTCCTTTACATGGATAAACAATAAATCCCTTGGGTTTAGGCTGTGGAAGAGTTGGGTTTCATGCTTGAAGTCACACATTCCACTGGAAGCTGGGGTTTTGCCCTGGAGGCAGATCCCTGAGCCACCACAGGAGCTGTTCCAGTAGGTTGGACTCCTGACAAATCATGACTTAGAGCAGCTTTGCTGTGCACCCTCAATGATGGGCCTGAGCTGTTACACTGAGGTGCCTTAAAAGTGGTCAAATACTTGTCTGATGACTGCAATTCTCTGATAGTTTTAGGATTGAACCAGAGCTTTGCATGCTAAAAAACCACCAGGCCTCTAGAGCTCAAAAGTTTGAGCTAAGAAATCACCAGTTTGAGCTGAGATGATAAAAAATGTGTACCTTGGAAGATTTAGGACAGCAGAGTATCTACAGTGCAGTGCTGGTGGCTTAGCCTTAAATAAGACAATTCCTCTGGCACCATCTGTGCTAACTCTTCACTGCTGCTGGGAAAAGGGAGYCTATTAGCATATGGGTCAGAGCAGATTCTCCTGGGCATCAGGCAACCTAAAGGCCATATGTTGCTGGCCCTGATTTGAACAGATTCTCTGCTGCTCTGGCTTTCACTGGGGACAGGAGTTAAAGATCAAGGAGCTCCTACATCACATTATGTTTTAATTGAAATGAGGCATTTGCACTAATGCAGCCACTGGTGTCCACTGTGGTCAAAGCTCAGGCAATTCCTAGTTCAGATCGGTGTCGGAACCATCCACTATTCCTTTCTGAAGGGGAAAAATTGCAGTTTGGAAAACAAACAGAATAATTCAAGTTGAGAAAAGTGGAATCCCCTCTGTATTTTAGTTTTGTTGGTTTTAACTTCCTTTATAGTGTGTACTGAGGGGGAATSGGTTTGGCTTTCAGCACTTAAACAGGGAAGAAATTAACACAACACTGACCTGGTAAGGAAGTCAGAAAACTTGCTCTTTTTTGCCTTCTCTCTCTCATTAGCATCTGTTAGGGTATTAAATGTTCCCAATTCCTCCATCTTTTTAATAGTGACTGTAATTACATCACTTGCATACTGCCTGCCAGAAAGAAAAGCAACACAACAATACTTTACAGGTGCTGGTAGTACAGTGTCTGACACTTTTATCCATTTATTGTTTACAGTAAAAATGTAAGGAAATAAAAGATCTCCCTTCTGGTCTTATGTCCTATCAAACCCAGGAGTGCTTCTCCCATGGTATCAGCTTATTGTATGTGTGGAGAKCTCTGAATTAGGAGTTGGTTGAAGTTTATAATTTTAAAATGCTGCTCTGTATGCTAATCTGGGAAATGCAAAGACACAAAAGTATCCATGCTGAGCCATTAGATCGAAGGCTGCTGGCCTGCAGTAGTGATGACAGGTGGATCTTGGAAAATGAGACCTGGGGATGCARTACATGGGTGCATCCAGTTTATTGTGTATCATGATGCATGTGGCATTTACATTTTAGCTGCATTTTCCTCATTTGTGTTAGAATCTTCTTTAAACCCTATTTTGGAATTACATTAAAGGACAGAAGCCGGGAAGCAGAAAAATGCATAATGAACATTCAGCTCCATAATCTCTTTCAAACCAAAAGCTGCTCATATTTCTGCAAATCGGGGCATTGRATTAGGTGCAAGAATAATGTTTGCTTAAAAACAGCAAGAAAATCTTCAATCTTTATATACATTACCTGTTCTATAATGGCTATAATTGCCACTGAAGCTCTGTGTGCCCTGCAGAATGGCTGAGTTCAAAAACAAGGCTCAAATCTCACTTTGGCTGTGGGATATGCTAARGGAACCTGACTACAGATACCAGGACATCAGCACTGATTAGTACCTGGCATAATTCCACCCAGGCAACCATTACCAACAGAGTACTGTTCTACAGCTCCTTTCAAAATAAACTGCTAATCATTAGGTAGCATCTAGAGGCAAGCAAAGGTCAGAACCAAATGGCCYATGAAGCTAAACCCCACTGCTATCCTTAGAGCAACTCCTTCTGGACAGAGACCAAGGTACTCTGGCAGTGGGAGAGCAGGGAATTTGTATTTTTGCTTTCAAGAGATGGACTGAGAACTTTACTGCTCTAAGCATCCCCCACAAGTGCTTCACTCACCTGTCAGCCTGAATTTTTCTGAGCTTCTCTACAGCCCGTGTGGGGCGTTTCTGGGAGCTTTTTGAAGAACGACTGCTGCTTTTTTGATCTTCAGTTTTCCYCTGCTGTTCCGTGTTTTCTGAAGCAAAGGAGGCAACTGTTTCCCCATTCTCTTGCTCTGTTGACATAAGTTCTTCCTGGGTAATTTCTTTCATTTCCTGGATGGGAATGARAGGGAATAAGGGAAATAAGAAAATAAGGTCAGAGGGAAAAGGAAATAAGAGAGACCTGCTTGCACATTGTGCAGCAGAAATAAACCCTCTGCAGCATTATGTGAGAGGAAGGAAAATGAGTAATAAAATAGAACGAAGCTATACTGAGATCAGCTGATAGTGCATGTTACATTCTATCAGAGTAAAAAGAAAGAGTGGAAGATCAGAAACATTTATATTGGTTAGTTTTGAGCACACAGTGTAACTCATTGAMGTTTATGGCCTCAAAAGTCCTAAAGTTACTAAAAGACTAGAAAAGGCCTAAAAAGTTCACCCATTCCAAGAGATGATGGTTCCAACAGTTCTTAATCTGACATATTCTTAATGACCTCCAGCAATGGAGACTACACACCCTCCTGTCAGTGCCAGTAGCTCATAACTTTCTTACCATGAGAACGTTTTTCCTGAACAGAATTTGAACCCCTGGTTTGTTGTCCTGGTCTCTGTAGGCACAGAGAACAAGCCAYTSCCTCCTTTMTTGCAGCAATGTTTTTAGGTAGTAGAAGACTGTTAGCCTGTTTCTCCTTCACCTTCTCTCCATCTTAGACATTTCCCACAGCCTGTCACCACAAGCTTCCCCTACAATATTATTGTTACAACTAGAGCTGTGTGAAAATTAAGGTGATAGACTTTCTACTATCTGCTTAGCAGGTTTTTTGAGAGAGTGAYAGCAGAGGAAATATAACATGAATTCAAAGGAGAAATTCAAAATATTGGCAGCTCTCTTCTTCATGGAAAAGTATCTAGTGGTTGAATACAATTTCATTAAAAAAGAAAAAACTCCCTAAAAATGCAAAAGGACACTATAAAATCAGCTAAGGTCTTGCTTCTAGGAATTTCTCTGCTTTATGTGTTATGGGTAAAATGCAGGTCTGTATACTGGGACATTAAAAAAAACACAAACATTTTCTTGCCTGCCTAACAGCATTTCTGTGGCTGAACATTTCATAGCAGCACAGCTGACTCCAGCTYAGTCTCTGCCAGCCCCATCCCAGTCAGCAGTTGCCTGCTCCCCACCCTGGCTGCTGGGGGAAGTGGACAGAGAATTCACTGTGATGAAACATTTTCCAGCAAAAAGGAAAAAAAAAGTTATTTTTAGCAGCACCAGTTCTCAGTCCAGATCCTTCCATAACCACACATGCATTTGTGCCAGCCGAGCAGAGAGGGCAGAATAAAAATAAGTGGTCAGGGCAGCAGCTGTGGATGCCAGGAGTACTTCCAGAAAGTTACTTGTCAAGGCAGTCAAGCAAGGTTCTGTCAGTGGTCTGAGATGCTGCTGCAGTCTGTGAGGGCACTGCTGCATTCTGAGTGTCTTGGACAACGCTGGATTGGGATGGATCAGCCTCTGGCAGGGCTTGAGTCATCACTGACTAGAGAAGGAGACTAAGTGACTACGTGCTTAATTTTTGAAGAGTTAAATTTACAATAAATGAATCACATATAAAGTATACACAGACCAGTGAAAATTGCATCGTTAATTAGAGTAAAAAAAGGGCTTAAATAGCTGGCTGATGATGGCTGTACTTCAGAAAGAACTAATTTTGGCAAACAAACTGATTTAATATAATGTAGATTTTATGAATGTTCTGATAGTTGTTTTTTAACAWCTGGGAAAGTTCAAGACAGGCAGTAAATGGGTTGTCTGTAAAGAGTAGGGAGTTGCACTTTAATAATCATCAAATGGCTATGTAAAAGCAAGAAGTTTGTAAAGTGCATGTGTTACCATCTGTGTAGTCTCCAAGGTGCTTGTCTGTTGCCYAAAATTCAGCAATTAGAAAGGCTGCCTCAGTTTGGGACATGCACTGTGTGAAGAAATGTGCAAGATTACCCAGTCTGGAAAATCAGTGAGATGCTGGCCAACACTGTGATTAATCCTCTCAAAAATGTCATCAATTGAAATTCACATGTCAGTCTTTGAAGATGCTGTTGATTTGTCTGACTGACRGAGTTCCAGGGTGCTTTGCAAATACAGATCTTCTACAAATACAATGAAAACAGCCAAATGTAAACTGAGAAATGGGAGGAGTAGCAAATTACAAGGCACCAAAGTTAGCAAGTAGCTTCCCTGAGCCATTTGCTTGTTTCTGAATTGTTTCCCTCTCAATTTGTTTTGACATCTTTAAAAACACAAACAGTTTATAACCTGTGAGAAAGTTGTGTTCTAAGAAGTGACTTGATGAAAATGAACATTTGTGATTGAAGAGGAAAGCGAAGGTGTTTTCTCTGTAATTTGAGTGTACCTTCAGTAGGTCTATCAACCTGAGTCTGTGTGTCTGAAGAGGACAACCCCTCCTGTTCTTTCTCGGTGTTTTGCTGTTGGCACATGAGAGGGAGAAGCATCCTCTGGGAGCAGGTGAGGCCGGCTCCCAGGAGTCTTTCAGGGGAGCAGTGCCCTCTACGGAACAGTCTCGGCATTGTTCCCTCCCTGAAAATCTCTGTAACTCAGGCTGATGCTGATGCTGCTTTGCCATGGGGTTTTTGAAAAAGTAATGTTGAAAGGAAACACGTAGAAAACATGTTGGTTTACCTTCCTCAGGCATTCTTAAGTGTATATTAGACAGAGTGAACATCATTAGATGTCAAAACTCAGATCCCAGTTTTTATTTCCATCTTGGTTGTGTGCTTTTTCCTTGAACTCATTTTAAAAAGTTTTCAAACCTGCTAGAAGTGAAAAAAGCCTGCTGTGTCACTTAGAGACATTTACCTCTCAGGATGGTTCCATCCTGTTTGCTGTGTCTAACAGCTACCAGAAATGTCCCAACACCTTCCTCCACAGCAACAAACATTTGCCTGAGCATTAGGAATTCTTTTCTATTCTTCATATCTCTGCTCAACTGTCTTAGTTATGRTATGTATTAGAAATCAACTGAGAAAGGGTAGTAACTAATATATTTTGAAGTGCATCTTTTCTAATATATTGTGTAAACAAAAGGAGCTCCGGCATGGACTTAGAGAGGAACAGAATTACCTTGGTTTTGAGTACTTTGAAATAATATATACATTTCTACTTTTAAAATAGCTGTGTATCTATAYAAAAACCTACATATGTTTTGCTTCCTTTTCCCTAATTCTTTGCTTGTTGTCTAACCACTGAGATTTTCAAACTGTAATCTCAGGAAGCTCATCTTGGATCACTAGGGTCCTTTGCACAAAGTTTTGACCAAGGCTCCTCAGTGATGCTGTAGTATAAATACTAAAATCAGATAATTTTTATTGTATTTCTTCATCCAAGAGTCATGGAGCACTTACAGAAAAAAATATTTGAGCTGATTTTTAAAAAACACTGGTAAAAGACATAAAACCAAGACAAAAAAACAATATATTTTTTAAGCAGGGGGGATAGAGGCACGTACACGGCTGAGGTCTGTCTCGCCCTCGTGTGAAACTGGTATGATATATCCAATAATTGCAAGTTGATCAACACAACTCTCCAGCACAGCACTAAACATCAGCGCTTCCAGATGAGTGACTTTGTCCATGTTTAGTCTCTGTGTTCTTGCTAGGAGGAGCAAAGATAAAAGATACCAATCAKAAAAATTGCTATGGTGTTAGTAATGTCAGTAACAGTAGTTTAAGCTAAAGATAGACCCGAAATAGCCYTTTTTGCAGTCTTTCATATACTTTCCCTGGCTTTGTTTATAACCTTCCATGCACTGTTTATAAGAGGAGCTGTGCTCTGCTAATGGCTGAATTCAGGGRCAGTGGGAATGTTTAGCTTTCACAAAACAAAGAGGTTCTGGTCCCTCCTACAGCAGATCTGGGTAGACAGGCAGAGAAGGGAATGGATATGGAGGGCACAAATGGGGTGAGGTGTTTCRTTATTCAGTTCAGAGAGAAGCAGTGGTTCATAGTGGTCTTTGTCTTTGGGAAACAATAGAATGAAGGTGCCTTTTTAAAAGAAAAAAATAAATCCACGTCTTATAAAGTGAACCTTCATGCTCTAATCAATCCTCTGTATTACTGTGTAGCATTCACACTTTTATGATCCCAGTCTCCTCTCAGCAGCAATTGTTACCACCTTAAGATGCTGAAAGTTAAACAAGAACCAATACCTGGACTATGAAAGCAATCTAAAACTTTCTGTATTATTTTACTTTAACTTGCATTTCAAACATGAAACTGTCTCTAACATATACTTTACCACCCTTTAGCCTTGCTTAAAGTTGGAATACTGTGAAAGCATATATAAGAAAAGGTGGAAATTCACTATTAATCAAAAAATACCTAAGGAAACACCTGCACAACAATGGAGAATTTATCTGAAAATTTTAATGTTTTCATAAGCCATTGAACAATCCCTCCAAACCCTGTACATATAAACCAGATATTTCTTGTACAACACATAGTACAACTGCAGTTCTGAGATGGCTGAGATCCTGACTGTCACTGCAATGGAAGTATCAACAGCCACTAACAAAATCTTCATTTGGCTGCTCTACCTACAACTGGATTTGTGCCATCTCTAAAAATCTTGCATAAACATATCCTAAGCCTGCAAAATATTACAGTCCAACCTGTAAGCATGCCAAGGAAATACATCAGACAGTCCCTACTAGCATAAGACATGAACATATTCTATGCAGCTTAAAGCAGTTTGGAYGCAGTTATGTTCTGGATCACTAGAAATCAGTGATATTTCATAAGCAAATGTTTAAACCAATGCATAGTGGCTATAACCTCTCCAAAGCTGTTATATTTTCCCTCCTCCTTTTTTGTTGTTTTTTGTTGAAGAAAACATGTAATTTACAGTTGGACCATGATGTTAATTTCACTTGGCAGAAAAGAAGGGCCACTTTTCATTCCAGGTTTATGTGAYGTTAGTACAGAATAGGTAAAACAAACAGAAATAACTCAGATTTCACACATTTATTTCCTGATGTCCCTGTCTGTTGCAGGAAATTGTTTAATGCAACATGTGTTGAAATGTGCTGTAACAGAAGACTCCTCTCCTTAAGGATAAGATTAGAAAGTGTGTGAGGGGGAGTGACTGGGATTGCTCTCAGTAAATCTGTAGGAAGAGCAGGGAGAGACAGAGGTATTTAAGTTAAAGGATAATACTGCTAAATACTGCTCTGGGTCAAGGGAATATCATTTCCCCTAAGCCAGGCAATTATGATAAGGTTTGTGACTCCTGAATGGATGACAACATGGAACAGCCTTTTAGACAAGGTAATGGTACAGGCRCCCTGATTTATTTGAAGAAGCTTGTTTAAATCATGGCAGGAAAAGATAGCAGCATAGTAGTGATTCTGAACATTATCAATATGTTCACTTGTACTGTTTGTACCCACTTACCCAATTAATTCCTCTGTGCAGGTCACCTGTGGTAATCTTTTGACGGTCACCTGTGACAAAGAAGGAACGTATTTCATCCCTTTGCTTCTGAGATTTTTTTTTCTCTATCTTAATTATAAAAAAAGTAACAATTTGAGATAGGAATCTGATAATAGTATTAACAAAGAAAAAAAAGTAAATCATCTGTATAATAAACAAAACCCATCACTTTTTTTTCAACCTTGGAATCAATAATGGAAGTGGAGATGCAGTACTTCTATRTCAAGAAAGTCAGAAGTGTCTCCAGTCAACAGGCACTAATAAAATATTTTTCAGTGATTTACTAATTTTTATCTTTTTCAGAAATMCACAATCCATATTTTGAGTCTAAACAACCTAAGAATAATCTATTACATGTGGAGTCCTAATGCTAAAAATATGGTGAAAAAAGACTTGTTGGGAGATAGCTGTGACAGATGATTACACCAGCATTTATAGAAGAAGAAATRACACATGAAGCTCTCATAGGAAAAAGGGACTTATTTGGAAACAAAGGAGGATGCAACAGTTTTTCATCTTTCCCATCCACAGCTTCTGACCAGGAGAGAATTAACTCAGGATATTAATATTTTAAGGAAAAATGGCAGCTGGAATGTTTCTCTAAAGCTCCTTTGCTGCTTTGATCCTATTGTATATCTCCAATTATATCTATATCCTTGCTCAGCAGATCCATGTGCCAATCCTGTAGGCTCTGGGCTTCTATTGACATGGAATTGAGAAGGAAACCACTGTCCAGGGCATTAGGAAACACTACAGATATGAGTTGTTTGTTCTGGATTTTAGTGTCAACACARTGCCCTCAGACCATCCACTGTCATCGTCCTTCATTGCTGTGCTTGCTGAACTGTCTCATTAAACTCTATTAATAATATTAAAAAAAAAAAAAAGAGGTAGGTAAAGGGTTCAGCTTTCCCCATGAGTTTTAGTTGGCATTCTTTCCCTGCTGATCTAAAGGGAAAGAAAAACATATCAAGTAATAATTTTTAAAACAACTGTATTAAAGGTCTGGCCTCCTGTTCCTGTGGGGATTGCAACTCCCTCTGCTGTGTGAGAGTCCTGGATGTACATTTCTCCCACCCTGCTGCCTGATAAATGAAAATGGATTCAAGGGCAGCATTTTGTGCAGCATTCCTTGTAGTCAAGAAAAGAGACTCCASTGAATTCCAGTGAGAAAATGCGTAGCTGAGAATGTCACATCTCCYTTAGCTCTGTTTGGCAAATAACTGGAAAAGAAAGATTCTGAATATCCAYAGGAGCAGAGGTTGGGCCAGAAATCACAAGTAGCTTCATTTTTACCAAAAAAAAAGGTGTAATGGAAAGCAAAATAGTTGTGGTTTTACACAGTTCAGCCTTCTGCTAGAAATATTAGAACAGCAAGGTACTCATTTGAGGGAAAAAAAAAAAAAAAAGGGAGCGGGAAAAGGGAGGGGGAAGGGCAAAGGCAAAATTGAAGTGGAGGAGAGGAGAGAGGAATGGGAAGAAGAGGAAGTGGAAAGGAAGGGATGGGAAGAGAAGGAAAGGGAAGGGGAAAGGGAAAAGGAAAGGGAACATCAAGGGTTCTCAAGGTTTCCCTTCCCTAAATCCCTTAAAGTGCTCCTGAATTTCTAGCAGTRTGAGGGAAGTGACAGGAACTGAGAGCGAATAATCTTGACATGGATAAACTGGTAAGTACAAGCTTCCAGCTATTCTTATTTAGGAAACACAGGGCTGCTCTTTCCCTSCACGCTGCCTCTCTTCGGGCTCCTCGGCTCGTTTCACGGCCGCGGCCGGTTTTCATTCGCCCTGTACAGCCCGGCCCGKGTTGCCCCCACCCTCCCACCGGGATTTGTCCCCAATCCCCCGCTGCCACTCCCGATCCCGGACCGGGCCCTTCCCGCCCTCACCGGGACGCGCCGCCCGTTTCCATGGAAACCACCACGCTCGGGGGCCTCGCGGGGCTGCCCGGCGGGTGCCTGCGCGGCGGGGCTGGGGCCGCCCCTCCCGGGATTGCTCTTCTGGGGATCATCTCCGGGGAACGCGGGGACATGAACCGGGACTCGGGGCTGTGTGGAGACGGCGCGGGGGCCGCTGTGCCCTATCATGGCCTGGTACAGCCCGTTCAGGCAGCGCTCGGGCTGCCCGCGGCGGGTCCTGGTGGCGCGTTTCCCGGTAGGCAGCGCGGGGWGGTTCTCTTTTGCCGCCATCTTGGGGCGCTGGGGGTGAGCGGGAGTGCGGCCGCGGACCGGGAGCGGAATTGGGGGATGTTTCCCTCGCTGTGGGGCCGGCGGCGGGCGCGGGGCTCCCGGGGCGCGGTGTATGGCGCGGTCCGGGGCGGGGGCAGGGCGGGATGGCGCCGATGCGCGGTGGATGATCGCAGTCGCGGGTCGGGGCCCTCGGCCTGAGCGGCGCTGAGGCGACTGCGTTGTCGGGAAGCAGAGCGTCACTGAGCTCTGTGTGGCTCCCGGGTGATCCCCCGGTGTTCGGGCTCCCTCTCGCCGGGCCGGGCGGAGCTGCCGGTCCGAGACTCAGGGCTGTGTGTTGTTTCCAGGTCGGCCGGGACCAGGTGTGCGGGAGGACGCTATGGCCGGGAGGTGAGTGACTGCCTTAGGTGGCTGTCGGCTTGTTGCTACAGCGTGGTTAAACTGAGCATTTCTGAGRGTGTTAAAGCAGTGAGCAGTGTTCGTGTGGGTGCTCTCGTTTTTCAGGATATCTGCTCTGTCCAATGCCCTGTTGGGCCCAGTTAAACRCCCACAGTTGTGTGTTCCTATTCTGAAGTATCTGCCTTGACCTGCTTGTAGTGTTGTTACGATGTGCCACTCTCTCTCTGACCTGTCAGTAAACGTCAGTGTAAAATTAATTGGTTTGTAAGCACACTGTGAAACTCSAGTGTACAGTAGAGCTTCGACATAAACTGTTTCCTTGAGTAAAGAAAGCAATGTGATTTTCCCTTTAATAAATTTCCCATTGTGCAAAGCATTTGGGATTTAGTATAAAGTCTGTACTGTAGTGGCAGGAATTTATGACAAGCAGGAAGATGCAAAGTTCTCAGAAATACTTCATGTTCCAGATACTTACTTTGCCTTTGTTAACTGAACTTAAGGATTTGCAGTGATTTGTAAAAGTTGGGTATTTCCTCTGCTAAATTACTACTGGTGGGAGATTCGTTTCTGCTGAAACAGCCTGTGATTCGTTTTTAATTTTGTTACTCTGAAGTGAGTTACGATTTGCAGATGTTTTCCATGTCTTTAGGCTGTGGTGCAAGGCCATCTTTGCTGGCTACAAACGTGGCCTCCGAAACCAGCGGGAGCACACGGCCCTTCTGAAAATTGAAGGTGTTTATGCCCGTCAGGAGACAGACTTCTACCTGGGCAAGAGGTGTGCCTATGTGTACAAAGCTAAAAAGTAAGTCGTGTTGTATTCTTAATAAATTTTGCCTAAGACTGACAAGTCTGAATGTGGGTTGATAACATTGATGGAGATGGGTGAATTTTTGTTAAATGCTATGAGCTGTTAACCTATTTACACAATTAAATGATTTTGTGAAGCCTGGATGAATTTGTATCCTGACTTTTTGTGCCCAAGTACTGTCACTTCTGCTCTGTGGCGATTGGCACAGGCCTTGGGAACGGCTGCTTATTACTTCCGCTTCCTTTTTTTTTTCCCTTGAGTACAGTTTTTAGAAGTCAGAATTGCCTTGAATAAAGTTGCTCAGACTGATAACTTGACCACCATAATTTCCAACATGGCACGTGGCTTTTCAKCTTAAGCAATTTTTGTCATCTGTCTCAGTAGCCTGTTCCTCTCCTGCGTTTGGTGTGTCTGGGGAAATCTTGTTTATAAGGTGTTGCATTTTCAAATTGTTGATTTTTCAGTTTAATTATATTGGCAGCAGTGTTTTCCAAATTTCTGAGTTTTGTAAGTTGTTAATAGTTGTCCAGTGGAGCTTCTGATAAATTACAAGCTGTAATTACCCCTCTGAAAGATGAAAAATTAAGGGAAAATCCCAGGTCTGGCAAATTTCACAAGTTAATAAAAGTGGACATTGGTCTAGTTAAAGATGGTGACAGAATTAAATTACTGAGGTGCCTTAAAAAGACCACATTGTCACTGCTGGTGACAGCAGAGCTGTGACTGCCCTGCTCAGCTGTCACTTCCCTCCCTTTTTCCAGCAACACGGTAACCCCCGGAGGCAAACCCAACAGGACACGTGTAATCTGGGGCAAGGTGACGCGCGCCCATGGCAACAGTGGCATGGTTCGTGCCAAGTTCCGCTCCAACCTTCCTGCCAAGGCCATTGGACACAGAATCCGGGTGGTAAGTAGATGTGTTTTAGCAATAAGATGTTTATTGGCAGTGTTTGGGGTGTCTTTTAATTCCACATAGTATGAGGGAATATTTGAGCTCTGGTTTTGTTGACTGTTCTTTTAGAGCTTGGAAAGGCTTATTCCTGGCTTCCTGTGCTGAGGGGATTTGTTTCACTATCAGGAGTTTGTGTCCTTGCTCAAGTTGTCTGCAAAGGCTCTTCAGGTTCCAGGACTCAGCTGCTTTCTAAAGYTGTCTTGATTTCTTTTCCCCTAATTTATTCTGTGTATTTTTGCATCCGTCTACTTCTCTACCTGTAAGGTTTTTCTCTTACCTCCCAAAAGTTAACTGAAGACTGTGCTCTCCTGTCCTGGCCATACCCATCCATTCCACAGTTGGTGTTTTAGGGCTTCAGTGAGATTGTCCATCTAGATCCCTCACCCAGACCAGTGATGCAGTATTTTCTTAGTGATGTTATCAAAAGGAGTATCAGAGGGGGTGCAGTGAAGTCTCCTTCCTTGCTGTCTTTCTCCTGTGTCTTAGAAAAAGCACAGTAGGAGCAGCACAGACAAATGCTCARTCCAGAGCTGTGGAAACTCTTGCTGTTGTTGCACAGGAGGGCTGTCTGCCAGAGTCTGTGCCACCAGCAAAGTGCTATTGTGAGGCACTGAACCAGCTGTTGGGCTTTTCCATTTTCACACCTTCTCTGTGTATACTGGGGGTTGCTTTTATAACAGTTGAAGAGACTGATGGTCTACACTGTAACTGCAAAACTTGTRTTTGAAAACAAGATTTCTAACATAATTCTCTCTGATTTTGTGTTTTTACAGATGCTGTATCCATCTAGGATCTAAATTTTTATTGAAAATAAAATGGAGAATCTGTTTAACTTTTGTATATTTCTGTTTCTGTCGCCTCCACCAATTTTGAGAGACTTCTTTCTCAGTAGTGTATCAAGAGTTTAAGGCACAGAGACACTAAATCCTAGCAGGTGCAAAGACTCTCTCACATCTGAAAATGGTAGTTCTGGTAGAATACCAAATAATTAGCCCATGTGTACCTGGGCAGTACATGTGCCTGTAGTGTCTGCTCTGTGTAAATTATTTAAACACATTTTCATCACACRACTCTGTAGTGCCTGAGTATTAACACTGGCTGGTTTCCTGGCCAGCCTTATTCCCAGCATGTCATGTGGGGCAGTGAGCATCCTCACAGCACTTTCATAGTAAGGTGATGGAAAATGAATTTAAAGTCTTGAAGTGCAAGGGTCAGAATTTCTTATCTCTGAAAATCCCCCAAAAATACTGGGTAGTTTGAAGAGAGGTTTGAGGCAGGTGCAGGTTGTCATGGTTGCTGCTGATGTCATAATCCCAAAATGACCTATGGATACCCTGTGAAGGCAGTTCCACATCCTCCATGTAGTTCCATCATTTTCAATGCATCCCTAGTCGATCAGGCAGGTGAGTCTCAACCATACCTCGAGCCTAATYCAATGAAGTGAGTCCTTCCCAGGGGATGAGACCTGCCTTCTCCCTGCTGCCAGTGTGTGTTAGGGAGCCCTCTGAGCTGTTGGCTTTGCCTGTCTCCTGCAGTGGRCTGGTATTTCACAGCTAATCCTCTTCCTTCTGAAAGAGGTGTAATAGTTGTGTGTACAGAATACATGGTTGGGTAAATCAAAACTTTRTTTTGAATTGGAATTAAAAAGCTTGACCCAGCTACTCAGCTCTGGTATAGAAATTATTTTGCTGTACCTCAAGATCTAATCCTGCTAACACTGCTGTCCATGACAGCAGGTGGGCCCTTGCCATGGGAAGCTACATTTTTTTTAACCTGTGGAGAGAAACTGCAGCCTATGGGATGTTGGACCAGGTCAAATAGGGCTTTTAGTCCTCCACAACTGCCAACAGGTTGGACACATTGGATTCAAGGAAGGATGGATGGAATTTCCAGCTTTAGGCATTGCAGAGGAAGGAGAAGGAAATGTAGTGAGGAAAGTGGACTATAACAGCAGGTTGGTAGGCCCGTGTTCACTATCATATAGTTGGATTTTGTTGATGAGAAGGCAGTAAGTCCTTTTGAATTTGCTATGTCCAAAAGTATGTAATTGTTCCTTCTCCCTCCCCTGTCACCTCTTTCTATTGTACCAGACTGCAGAGGTACAAAGCTTGTTTTTGGGAGGTCCAACCCCAAATAGCACATGGCTGCAATTTGTGAATCTTTCAAAACTATTATTTTCATATTCATTTGGTGCCACCAAACTCAGCACTGGCTATTCAGAGCAGCAGCTGTTGCTATTTCTGAGCCTGTGCTGTGCAATTACCTTTGCTACAGCCACCCCCTCCACTCCTTTCCCAGCAGCACGGTAAACTGACGTGTGAGAGAACGCTATGGCATCAAAGGAGCCGGCCTCCCTCGTGGACAGAACCACCTGGGACTTCCTCAATCTCCTGGACATGCTGGGGAGCCGGAATGGACGGGTGGGTGTGATGGAGGTGGACCATGCTGAGTCAAGAGCTCCCTCATTGCTGGTGGATTTTACCCGGGACCTGTGTGGCACAGAGGACATCAAGCACAAACCACAGCAGGCAGAGAATGAGGGAAAGGAAGAGGAGGATATGGTTCCACCACATCTGATTTTTATGCTGTGGCAAGCCAGTGTATTGAAAAGGCTCATGGAGTGGGATAACCTGGAGGAGGCCGTCCGSGATGTGAGGAACCTCCTCCCCTGCCTGCCGGAGGTACTGGTGCTTGTGATGATCCGTCCTGACTCCCAGGAGCAGCTGGACCAGGCAGTGAAAGCACTGAGGAGAATGCAGTGCGTGCTGGATGGGGCCTTGCAAGTGACCGTGGAGACAGCAATCTACAGCCCAGGCCAGCCTGGAGGTGTCCTAGAGGCAAAGAGAGCTGCCTGTAGGGCACTGAGAGAAGCCTTAAACTGCCATGAAGGTAACCTGGTAACACAGCTAAACACAGGGGTGGTAGACACAAAAACATGCTCAGGGSAGAGTCTGAGGGACAGTGTAGACTGAAGTGGTGCTTGTTGACTGGATTCMGATACAAGAGAGAAGACAAATGGGACCTTGCAGGCAGTATGAACCAGAAATGAGAATGAGGGTTTACATACTGGGATAGGGATGGACAATATGTCTGAGCCAAGTGTGTGCCCTCTTCCAAGTCAGATGGGGCTCTTCCTTGCCCCAAAACACACATGACAATGGAAATGCTGCTCGGTGTATGAGCTGCAGTTCTGACTCCCTGCAGGGACTTTCTGTGATGATTTTAACAGTTCATGATCTCACTGACCCTGAGTTCTTCTATGGAGGGATGCGCCAACCTTTTTGGGTGGCCACAGGCCTGGGCTTTGAAAGGATGGTGCCAGGTGTTCTATCATTTGTGCTTTCTTCCCTAGAAGTCGACTCCCAGGAGCCATTCGTTATTTCACTCCCAGAGCTCAGATACTGCCGTGTTCTGCCTGAACCTAGGCAAGAGAAGGTATCAAAGACAGATGGAGAATGATTTCCCTTGGGCAGCAGAACCTGTCAGGTTGGTTCTAGCACTGTCATCCTGGATGTCCCTTTGCAGAACACTTCCCTCCTGGTGCCTTGCTTGTCTGCCCAGACCTTCTGCATGGATGTGATTCAGTGTTGATCCGCTGCCAGAAGGGGACACTGTGCTCTCAAGCATCACACAGTCCTTGCCACAARGCTCAGAGTTCTTTGCCACATTGGCTGAACAATCTGCCCCGGGAAACTTCTATCAAAAATGAGTTTTTGCTTTGCATTAAATGCCKTACTTAATTATCAAGATATCCCTAAGAAACCTGTCCTAAAAAAAAAATAGCTAAAGAACTGTCAGCAGAGAGGGAATCAGAGCAGGCCAGAGGCCTCTGGATTTTAAACTGTCCCAAAACTGRAACAGTGAAAGAAATTCAGACTAAGGCCTAAGACCATGTTTTCCCAGGCAAAGCTGGATTCAGGAGTCTTTGGTACATGGTTCACATCAGCAACAAATCTCCTCAAACTCCCCAGTGTTYTTTGTAGCAGGGATTCAACCTTACATACAAGCGGATACACATCCAGCAGTTGAATTATTGGGATGGGTTATTTTGGATGGGAGGAACTATGGGAGCAGTAAATTATTTTTAAGTCCTGGTACTCAGATAGAGTACATCCTCTCTGAGCATGGCAAAGCACTATAGGTGCCACTGCATTTTTTTTTTGCATTGGGAATTTATATGTATTTTTTCTTTGGTGTTTTTTGTAGATCTTTTGTCATCCTAAGATCTTCATTATCGTCAAAAGGAGGATTAAAAACCTGATATTTATCTCATTTCTCTGTGTCTATGTGTATCTATAAGGTTTAAAGCTTATATCTAAGACTATGAAACTTGCTGAAGTTGCAGGTTTGTGCAGTATGATACAGAAGGGGTGGGATTTGAGGGTGGTACAGATCCTGTAAACCAATATTCCTCAGAGAACGGATCCTCCAGGTTATTTTTCAAATATGGGTTCCTTCCACATGCTTAAGAATGTGGCTTTACRAAGCAAAACAACCTTTCTTTAAGTGTTTTGGTTTTGCTGATGCTTGGCAGACTTTTGGATGAGGTAGCCCATTGTTCTGTTGTGGAAGAGATTTTCCATGAGCATTTCCACGAGATGAATTTTGCCTTTATAAAGGCAGTGGTTCTGAGAACCTGGGAGCTTGGCCCATGCTAAGAAGGGGCTTTATGGGAAGGAGGTAGGAGGATGCAAGAGGCAGTGTGAGGAAGGCAGGAGGAGCTACATCTGTGAGCAGTGGCCCCCAGCATGGTGAAGTCTGAGGTGATTTTTAAGAGGCGCTGCAAAAGGTAAGTGCAGAAAAGCTGGACTGCTGGTGTCAAAGGCATGTGTGTACAGGGAAAGAATGGAGACTGGTGGCTGGGAACAGCTAGTCCTTGGTCCTCTTGTCAAACCCCCAGSTAAGGCTCTAGCAGGACAGCCAGAAAAAAGGCCAGAAGAGGCAGCTTGGTCCTTAGGTCTGGTTTCATATTTATTGCCACTTCTTTAACACCTTCCAGTGGAGGATCCAAGAGTGGAATAGGCAGATAGGCATCCTCCATCTGTCTCTAAGAGGGCAGGCAGAGACCTCCCTCCTGTTGCCCAACACTTTGGGCTCTTTGCATGTGGCCCTGTGCCAGATTCCCACCCTCCTCTTCAGCCATACCTTCCTAAGCCCCTCTGCCATCTGGAAAGGGATGGTGACTCAAGGAAATATACGGAAACTTAGGATAACTGCAGAGATGGGCAACTTTCAAAGGGAACAGAATTTTGGAAAAGAGAGGCAGGAGAAAAGTTTGAGGTTCCTCATYAGGAAGCCAGGTTGTGTCCCCACTGCGGGGTGCCAGTGACTTCCCAACTTTATTTGCTTATGGTGTGTAACCTCCACTGAGCAGAGTCCAGAGGGGTGTGATGACTTGGATGGATCCATACCARGGGCTGAGTTGGTACAGGCTGCCATGGGACCAAAACTGGGGCTGCCTCAGCTAACACAAGAATCCTTTATCCCTGTCCTCTTTCTACTCTTCAGAAGAAAGGTTAATCTTGGYAAATGCAGGCTCTAATGCGGTGGACCTTTGATTTTGTTTAGGATTCAAGGCACTACAAATACACATGCCAAATTTGTTTCTCTGAACAAAGCATCTTCACTCCTCCTTTGAAGTAGGAAATGAACAGATGTGATATCTGTTCTGGACAGCTGCAGGCATATGTAAGGGATGTGATTACATTCATGTAGGGCTGTCTATAGTGATTCCCTACAACTGTGACTGTCAGGTGGATGTTTGATGGAGTGTCAGGTCTTCTAAATACATCTGTGGTTTTTTGCTCAGATTCCTAACAGGGCTTTGAAGACATTTTGTGAGCTCATGACTGCCTYTGAACTGTTTGAGTTGTACCTCTTYAAGTAACACAAAGGGAGATAAAGTTGTATGTGCTATTAGATCTTMCCTCTGTTAATGAGTAAAGAAATGTAAACAAGGTTGTTTGGGTATTGTGGGTGACATTCACCTTTCCAACCAGCCTCTGCTGGTAGTAGTGCATGTGTACCCAAAATTAACTAAAGAATTGCAGTGGCCATGGAGAACATCTCTACATGGTTCCAAATACTAGTTTTTTTTTCCTCATTGGAAAGAAAACCAGCGTGTGCAAGGATTCTGAGTCTGTATGACAGATCCGGGAGCTATCTAGTACCCTCTCTGCTGTGCCCACCAAGGCAGCAGGCAGGACCTGTTCCACCGCGRGGATGTGCAGGGACCGAGATGGGGCTGGAGTGGGGAGATTCCTGACACCCTCCCGCCCGCTGCCTCGAGTAGTGCGCACGGGGTGCTGCTCCACGCTGGGGCCGGGGCTGGTACAGGTGGCTGGGCGGGTGAGGGGCAGTGGGCGGTGCGGAGCCGGGCCGGGGCCGGGGGCGGTGCGGGTGCGGGGCCGGGCAGGGCGCACGGCGGGAGATGGCGGCGGCGGAGCTGCAGGAGCTGCGGGCGCTGGTGGAGCGGGCGGGCGGCCGGCGGGCAGTGCTGCTGGTGGCCGAGGTGGCGGAGGGGGCCCCGGCGGCGCCCGCGCTGGCCGCCTTCGCCCGCGACCTCCTGGGCGACGAGGCGCCGCGGGCACCG